CCTCGGTACTGTGTGCTTCACTTGCTGCTGTCAGGAGTGCACAGTGTCTTTCTTAAATTACTATTCGTAACACTTCACTATGTCATCAGTAGTTCTAATTACTTCCGCGATATTGCATTCTGCGCACTCTTGCATTGTTCAAATCATAACAGGAACGCTGAAGTTTTCCTTACAACCCGTAAAGGTTTGACATGATTTCAGGACATCATTTCAGTATCACTGCAACGAATTTTCCATTTCCTTACGCCGCATCCCTGCTTAGCGCGTACACCACTGTACCAACCACACTCGCCACCGTTACCACTCGCGACATTCGCCTCGACTATTTCCCACCACCTCGCCCGTCGCACCCTAACCGCACGGCTCGGCTGGTAACTCGCGCTTCGGACCTCTACCTCGATACTTCCCAACCTCAGCCCCAGCCCCAGTCCCACGCCCGTCGCGCGTCACCCACAGTTCGTTACCGTTACCACTGTGGCCTTCGCTGTTTAGTTCTCGCTCATGCCTTCGCTCACTTGTACTCTTGCTTCGATAGTGCAATACTCGTTCGTTCACTCAATTGCACTCGTAACACTTAGTATTCAGAGCCTACGATCTCTTCTCGGACCGCACCCACACCTTCGTTTCCCCAGTAATTCATTTTTTTTTGGGGGGGGGGGGGGGGGGGGGGTAGACGTCTCTCAACGAAACAAGCACCGCCATTCCTAGTGCTCTCTCGTAAGCACGCACGGCCACGACAGAGGCTCTCGCTGAGCTTGCCCGACACCTCCGCCATGGCCGAATTCACTCGACCGTCTCGTGCGCCAAATCGAAGACTCGGCGCTCGAAATTGCGACACTCACAGCGGAACATGACTCCGCTCGTCAGCAAGCCACGGTGAATGCTCCAGCGCCACCACACTTACCTGCAAATGCACCCGCACAATCGGAGGAGCCGATCGTCATTTCATCAGGCGCAAAACAACAGCGTGGGACAACGCTCAGGCACAGCGAGTGATGGCGCCGCTCAATCGATGCCTGGCATGGAGAGGAACAGAGCCACGCCAAGCCCGCGGGAGCCTCGCGAAGCCCGTCGGCACGTGGAGTTTGCGGCGACAAGTGGCGACCACGCTATCATGGCACCGATGCCACTCAATCCGCAGCGCTCGCCCTGTATCGACCCGAGCCAGCGTGGAGGTCCGACGGTTCAGTCGTGGGTCTTCATGATGAACGTCTTTTTTTACGCAAACTACGTCGAGTCGGGCGCAGCGAAGATCCGATATGCCGTCTCGCTGCTGAGGGGCCTGCCATGGACTGGTGGCGAGTCATTGTGACGTCGCCACGCGCCTATGAGCCACCGTCGCAAGAGGAAGGGTCCACGGGAATAGTTGTCACCTGGAGTTCATTCTGCAAAACCGCCCAATACAGCACGTCGACTGCGTACTTGGCGGCATCTCGGATCGGTTCAAGACTATACGAGCGGTTTCCTCGCATTATGCAAGCAAGTCGACTACATGCACGAAGCAGAGCGGGTGGACCGTTACGTCGGAGGGCTGAAGCCGGACATCTCGCACGAAGTCATGCTACGCGGACTCTCGAATTTCAACGAGATTCTCGCGCTCGCCGAGAAAATCGACATTTTATGCCATCCGAGACCGAGGTCCTACTACGGGCATCGCCCTCGGGGACCAATCAAGCATGCCACTGTACATGCTGTTGCGACAAATGCAGCTGTCGCGCCGTTTAAGGGGCGCTGCTTTGCTTGCAATAGGCCGGGCCATCGCAAGAGTGAGTGCCCAGAGGAGCTGAGGCGCTGCGGAGCAGAGCAGGGGAGGGAGTCCTTAAGGCAAAGAAACGCCAGCAGTCAGTAGGAATCGGGCCAACTACTGACGAGATTGCCTGTTCGCCCAACCCCACCGACCCTCACCGAGTCACAGTACCGATTCACGCCATCGATCGGGCTCGGACGAATAAGGAGGGTACAGCGACGGATTGCCCAGTACTGATCCACGGGAAAATACAGGGAGCAGCAGTGAAGTTTTTATCAATGGAGGAGCAAGTCACAGTTTAGTTAATAACGCGACCGCACGGAAACTGCAACTGACACTTAGCCGGTGTTTACCGGAGATAGATGCACGTTTAGTTGACGGCACGCCGCTGGCCATACGGGAGAAGGTGGAAAAGGTAAAAATCCGCTACGGGGGGAACTTCGGGTTTACACAGGAAATGCTCGCGACGACAATGGATGGGCATGACACTTTACTAGGACGGGATTGGCTGCGACGGTGTAACCCGCGAATTGACTGGACGACGGGTAGCTGCACTGTGCGATGTAGCGGTAACTGGGTTGAACTACCTCGCTGGCAGTCGCCTGAGTCATCAACGGTCCACATCAATGCCATCACCATGAAACGGGCTGTCGCCGCTGGAGCTGATGTATACGAATTGCACATCGCAGTGGTAGAGGAAGCAGGGCAACCGAGCGATTTCAAGAAACTGCTGGCAGCTGTACCACCCGAACTACAGGAACTGTTGAAACGGTACCCGGGAATTTTTCCCGACGACTTACCGGAGGGACTCCCACCTCCCGCTAACTGACCTACTGCGAAAGGGGGTAGAGTTTACGTGGGGAGAAAAAGAGCATGTTGCCTTCGCTGCCCTGAAAAATGTTCTCTGCACACCACCCGTCCTGCGCATTGCAGATCCCCACCGTCCTTTCGAGATCGTTACGGACGCAAGCGACATCGCCATCGGAGCAGTCCTGTTACAGGATTTCGGCAACGGCCTCCAACCCATCGCGTACGAATCACGGAAGCTGCACCCGCCCGAGAAAAATTACCCGATACACGACCGCGAAATGCTCGCGATTGTGCACGCCTTCAAAGTGTGGCGCTGCTACTTGACCGGAGCCGACGTGACAGTACGGACAGATCATAAGTCACTACAGTACCTTCGCGCACAGCCCAACCTCAACCCACAACAGATTCGCTGGCTCGATTTCCTCGAGTCAAACTTTCACTACACGGTCACCTACAAAAAAGGAGCCTCCAACATCGCCGACGCACTGACCCGCCCCACTGCACAAATTCATGCTATACTACTCGCCCAGACCAGCCCGCTACTGACAGGACTATTTACCCACAGATATCAAATAGACCCGTTCTTCACAGGAGGAAATTCGCAGCAGTTTGCAGCCGCAAAAAGGATCTATTACGTAAAAACCGGCACCGACCGCATCTGGGTGCCAGGGTACACTCTATTAAGGGAGCTGTTACTACAGGAGGCACACGACGGGGTTACCTCAGGACATTTCAGGGTAGAAAAGACGCGGCAGCAACTGCAGCGGTACTACTACTGGCCAGAGATGTTGACCGACGTGCAACGCCACGTGGCTTCGTGTCCCACCTGCCAAATCATGAAGTCGTCACGACAGCGGCCGGCAGGACAGTTGCAGCCGATACCACCCCCAGAGCGTGTTTGGCAGCAGGTGACGATGGGCTTCGTCACGGGGTTACCGGCTGGGGCAAGTGGGAACGATGCGATCCTGGTCGTCGTCGATCGACTCACGAAATGGCGCATTTTGCAGCCTGCAAGAAATCCATCTCAGCCGAAGAAACAGCTCGGCTCTTCATCACCACCGTGATACCAGCAGCTATCATTAGCGACAGAGATACGAAATTCACCAGCAATTTTTTGCGGAACCTGTGGCAGTAGTTCGGCACGCGACTACAGTTCAGTTCTTCGTACCACCCCGAGACAGACGGACAGACAGAACGGACAAACCAGACCATGGAGCAGCTTATCCGAGCCACGTGTGACGATCCAAGCACGTGGGAACAGCAACTACCACTCATTGAGTTCGCGTACAACAACTCGCCATCCGCCACGACCCAACAGTCGCCATTTTACCTGAACTGCGGACAAGACCACACAGTACCTATGACCCCGAATCCCGACAACCCCGTACCACATGCACAGCAGTTCGCCGAAATCTTACAGGCAGCATGGACCCGGGCAGCAGACGCAATAAAAAAATCAAACGTAATCGCTAAACGCAACGCCGATCGCCACCGCCGTCCTGTCACGTACAAGCCCGACAACTTAGTTTTAATCGACACTCAAAACCTCCGACTGCCCATTACCCCAAAACTCCGCCCCCGATATTGTGGGCCATTCCGCATTAGCCACATGATCACCCCCGTTACCGCCCACCTCCTCCTCCCCGCTGACTAGTACGTCAGCCCGTCATTCCACGTCAGCCTCCTACGCCCTTACGTACCATCCACAAGCCAACTGCCCCGCCACCGACCAGCCAACATGACACGACCACCCACCGAGCCAGTAATTACACTTGAGAAGATTCTAAGCCATCGCGTTCGTGACCCACGTGGAGCACGCAGGATCGAGTTCCTGATCCGATGAAAAGACCGCACCCCAACTGAAGACAATTGGGTTCCCCTGGACAGGATCGAAAACCACACTGTCCTCGCTGACTATCTGCACAGCTGCAATTTCCGGGACGTACACGCACTCTCGTAAGGAGGGCCTCCTTAGAGAGGGGGGTAGTGTAAGGAATTTTCCATTTCCTTACGCCGCATCCCTACTTAGCGCGTACACCACTGTACCAACCACACTCGCCACCGTTACCACTCGCGACATTCGCCTCGACTATTTCCCGCCACCTCGCCCGTCGCACCCTAACCGCACGGCTCGGCTGGTAACCCGCGCTCCTGACCTCCGCCTTGATGTCCCAACCCCAGTCCCAGGCGGCCAGGCCCGTCGCGCGTCACCCACAGTTCGTTACCGTTACCACTGTGGCCTTCGATATTTAGTTCTCGCTCATGCCTTCGCTCACTTGTACTCTTGCTTCGATAGTGCAATACTCGTTCGTTCACTCAATTGCACTCGTAACAATCACTCATTATTCCGCATTCAGCACTCGTTCGAATTTACATCTAAATTTTACATCAAAGCACTCAACATAACAGCCGCCAGGCAGTAAGGCTACGACCACTCGCGCACATGCCCCGCCAGCTGTCGCCGCGATGGCTGCTGCCGCGCTGGCAGCCGCTGCTGATCTATCGGGCCGTGCTGCCTGCGCTGCAAGGAACCGCGCACGTCGCAGTGGACTGCGACTGGGCGCGCTACTGGCGGCGCGCGTCCGGGGCGATGGACGGCGAGGCACGGGCGGAGGGGGGCGACGGGGACGCGCGGTCACGAGGACGGGTAGACGAGGTGGAGGGCCGTGGAAAGCGGCAGGATTCAGTCCGGGGACGGGGAGTCGTCGCGAGTGGAAGAGGGGCGGCGGTAGACGCGGGTAGAGGGCAAGGGGGGTGCGAGGAGCTCAGTTCCATGGGCCACGGCCCGCAGCACTTCCCCCCGTGCTCCTCTGCGCATGGCGTGCAGCCGTGCGCGCTCCGCTCCCCGCGATACACGCGCGTCGCGCTACCACACGTGCTGCGGGAGGGCGGGCTGCAGCACGTGCTGCAACGCGTGGGGCTGTGGCCTGCGCCCTCCCCGCACCATCGCCTTCCGCCAGGCTTCCCCCCACCCCTCGACCGTGACGATGCGCGCATGTACCCGGGTACGGCTCTCGCTGCACCTCTCCGCCCTCCTCTCAATCCCACACCGCACCTTGTTGCTCCACCCCTCTCATGCCTTCCCACCACATCCTCGCCGCCTTCTCCCCCTGCCCTCCCCCTGCCCTCCCCCTGCCCCCTGTGGCGGCCAGGCAGGTGTGGGTGTGGCGGTGTCGGGCGGAGTGGACAGCATGGCACTCGCGCTCACTGCCGCGCGCATGCAGCGCGCACAGCAGGGGGAGGGGGGAGGGGGGGTGCGCGTGGTGGCGATGGTTGTGGACCACGCTCTCAGGCCGGGCAGTGCACATGAAGCCATGCGCACCCTCGCATGCCTTGAGCACCTAGGTGCGCTGCCAAGCCATGCTGTGGTGTATGCCATGGGATGACCGGCTCTTCATGCTTATTCCCCTCTCATCTCACATCATCCCCACATCCACCCACCCGCTTGCCCGCCCGCCTGCCAACCATCCATCCATCCGTCCGTCCGTCCGTCCGTCCATCATCCATGCAAGTGTGGCAAGGGTGTGTACCTGCCGTGAGCCCGCCCTGGGCACTCACAGTGGGCAACTGCATGTCACCGCCCTGCACCCTGCGCTGTGCTGCCCACCCCGTGTGCGCAGGGCTGCAGGCAGTGCTGCTCACGTGCCGCTGGCCACATGGCCCGCCCCCTGCCTCGCGCCTGCAGCCGGACGCCAGAGCGCAGAGGTGACCTCTCGCCCTCTCTGCCTCAACGCACTCCCCTTACTGCACTCCGCTTCTCCTGTAATTGCTGCCTCCCTGTACCTTGCTGCTGGGCCTGCTGGGAGCCTGCATGCATCTCCTCTGCTCCTCCCTTCTCCACTCCTCACTCAATGACGTGCACACAGTGTGACACTTGGTGCATGTGCCACGTGCCAGCAGGTATGCGCTGCTGCACAGCGAGTGTGTGGAGCGGCGGCTGGGCGTGCTGATGACGGCACACCATGGCAACGACCAGACAGAGCTGCTGCTGCTGCGCCTCACCCGCTGCAGCAGCATGGACGGCCTCGCATGCATGCCCCTGCTCTCCCCGCTCCCCCCTTCTCCCCCTCCTCTGCTGCCCTGCTTCGCACCCTTGCATGCGCAAGGCAACACCAGCATGCGCCCCAGCACGACTGGCAGCACTCGTAGCAACGGCAGGAGCACTGCCACTCGATTGAAGTGTCTCGATGCCAGCACCAGCGACGGCAGCAGCGAGGGCGTTGTGGTGGTGCGGCCGTTGCTGGGAGTGTGGAAGCAGCAGCTGGTGCAGTTCTGTGAGTCCCACGCGCAGCCCTGGATAGAGGACTCCTCCAACGCCTCCTCGCTCTTCCTGCGCAACCGCATTCGCCACGCCCTCGCTGCCCTCGCTACGCACGACGCCAGGTGTGTGTGGGTGGGAAGAGGGACAAGGGGGACGGATGCGAGGGCAACATGGACATTGGGGACGCTCTGTTCTGCCTCTTGCTCATCCTTTAAGGGGGTGATAAGCGCCAATCATGAGGGGAGCGTGGGAGTGGAACGGCAATGATGCTCCTGGACGGGGAGCGCCTTACCCCTCAAATTCCACTCTTTCTCCCTCCGTCACCCCTGCACCCCTTGTGTGCTCGTGTGTGCAGTGCACTGCATGCGGCAGCACACAGCACCACTGCCGTGGCAGCTGCCCTCCGCTCTCACCGCCTCACAGCAGCACGCCACCTCGCTGCTGCCACCCTGCTCCCCACATCTGTCAGTCCCTCTCCCTGCGCCTCTGTCAGTCCCTCACAGTGTGCTCCATCTGCACTTTCTATGTCGTCTGCCCCGTGCATGCGAGGGTGCAAGCCCTCTCCCCCCCACACGCCCGTGCTAGTTTGTGCAGTGCTGTTGCTTGCCCTGTGCGGTGTGATGCGATGGGTGGGCATGTGAGTGGGCATGGCAGGGCGGGGCAGTGCACATCAGCGTGGTGGACCTGCTGGCTCCGCATTGGTCCGACCACACACGCCTGCATGTGCTCTCGCTGCTGCTGCAGGTGACACCCCTACTACCGCACACACGTGCTCCCTTGCCACTGCCATCCACCACAGCTCCACTGCTCCTTTTTCTAACACCACATGTGACTGTGCCTCGTGCGTGCCTGGCAGCACGTGGCGCAGCGGCCCTACCCTCCGCGCACTCGTGGCGTGCGTGCGCTGCTCGACCGCATGCACCTCTACCTCACCGTATGCCTCTACCTCACCGCATGCCTCTACCTCACCGCATGCCTCTACCTCACCGCATGCCTCTACCTCACCACTCCTCTCAAACCCCTTCCAATGCTCTCCGGTTACCTGCGCCAGTGTACACCTGTTTCTCATGCTGCCACACACGTGCACCTTTTGGTTTCCCTCGCTCCACGTGACCCTCTCTGTACACCGACTTGATATGTAGCAAGAGTCCATAGAGTGCAGAAATCGGACTGCTTGTAGTTCAACAGGGGTGCACACACACATGCACTTGCACACATACACAGATGCACGCCCGCGTGCCTGTGCGGGCCATGCTTTTAGAGAGATACATGTGTGCTCGCATGAGTGACCCCGTATTGAACTTGTCCATGATGCACACCGCTCTTGCCTCTCTGGTGAGTGCCGTGGGCCTCCCCAGCAGGCAGCATCGCGGGGAGCATACAGCATGGCGGGCTGCACACTCACCGCTCTCCCAGGTTCCCAAGGCACCGTCGCCTGCATTGCTGCACACGCAGGGGAGCCTGCTCGCTGACTGCCCGCCGCTACACCATGCCACCTTCCATCAACACCAGCCCTCCGCTGCTGCCGCTGCCACTGTTGTATTGTGCATGTTGGCACAAGCAACGATACAGGTTCCTCGTTTGTTGTTTTCAGGCTTAGCCCTTTCCTGTGTCAGATGTGCTACTTCCTCAATGCTACACAAAACTGCCGCACTGTCCTTTCAAGAGTCACCTTATAATTGACTTACAAAGCACACTGAATACAGCATTGCACCACACAAGGCAGTCATCAGCGCATGTCAATTTTCTTTGGCTACACATCTCGCTCATGCTCAAGTGCACACAGCGAGCATGGCATGCAGGCAGCATGAGGCACGGGGGCACGCGGCACCCCTGCCCGCCCTGCTACAGCTCGTCGTAGTTGACGGACAGGTACCCCGCCTTGAGGCGCCCGCCCGTGACACGCAGCTCGTTGATGAGGCGGTTCCAGTTGGACCCCAGCGCTCCCACGTAGTAGTCCGCCGCCGCCGCCACCGCCAGGTTCGCCAGCGACACCGCACCCGCCAGCTCGTGGCCCAGCGCACTCTCAAAGTGCACCATGGCCGTGTTGCCCCCGCCCACACGTGGGTTGCGCGTGTGGTGGAACGTCCACCCGGGGAAGCGCGGCGCCTCGTCCACCACTGCCTGCCCGCGGGGCAGCAGCATGGCACGCACGGAGGGATGGCGGTGAGGGGAGGGGTCGGTGGCAAGCAGATGGCGCAATGCATGGCGTGAGGTCATGCGTGCGGCAGGCAGGTGCACGGCAAGAGGCGCTGCATGCATGAAAGGTGCGCATAGAGCACAAGGTCATGCATGAGGAGTGGAGGAGGTGGGATAGAGCAGCAAGGCCATGGGATAGTACGTGCAGAAAGGTGCGGAGCACAAGGCAGAGAACTGATGGTGCCCTTGGCAGGCTCAAGCAACGTTCCCATGGCACAGCAAGTGGCAGAGCACGCACCTGCATCTCGGTGCTGAGCCACACATGGTGCAGTGAGGGGTCTTTCATGCGCACACGCGCTGCCAGCACCATGTATGCCGCCATGGGAAACAGCTCCATCTCCGATCCCTTGTCACCCGCGCGCACATGCATGCTGAGCAGAGGTCGTGGCACGTAGGGGGGCGCGTACACCAGGGACGACGACGCACTGCCGGCGAACGCCAGTGTGGCAGCCCCAGCGCTGCTCGCAGCACTGCTACCACCACCACCACCAGCAGCAGCCTGCGTGTTGCTCATGTCCCAGATTCCCCCTGAGAAAGGCAGAGACTGCCACGCGATGCCGCCCATGAGCAGCTCAAACTGAGTGCGGTTGGCTGCTGCCATCATGCGCTCTGCCGCTCGTTTCGCCGCCTCTCCTGCGACCACTTGGCGCGCGGTGAGTGGGCCAAAGGCAGCATGGCGTGCGATGTTGGTGACGTGGCAGAGGTAGGGCGAGGGCCAGCGCATGGCAAAGCGGGTGGTCTGAGCGCGCCACCAGCTCACCTGCGCACAGGAGGCGCACGGCCACACATGCACCGCAGCGAATAGGCAGGGTGAGCATGGCTTGGCGAGAAACAACGGTGCATGCAGCAGCGTGCGTGGGGCAGAGAGAGCAATGATAATTGTGACAGGGCGATGGTGCACGCAGGACACTTGCCATGCACACTCATGCGTGCAGAGCAGCAGTGCCCCCTGCACGCATCTCACCCTGCCCCCTGCACGCATCTCACCCTGCCCCCTGCACGCATCTCACCCTGCCCCCTGCACGCATCTCACCCTGCCCCCTGCACGCATCTCACCCTGCCCCCTGCACGCATCTCACCCTGCCCCCTGCACGCATCTCACCCTGCCCCCTGCACGCATCTCACCCTGCCCCCTGCACGCATCTCACCCTGCCCCCTGCACGCATCTCACCCTGCCCCCTGCACGCATCTCACCCTGCCCCCTGCACGCATCTCACCCTGCCCCCTGCACGCATCTCACCCTGCCCCCTGCACGCATCTCACCCTGCCCCCTGCACGCATCTCACCCTGCCCCCTGCACGCATCTCACCCTGCCCCCTGCACGCATCTCACCCTGCCCCCTGCACGCATCTCACCCTGCCCCCTGCACGCATCTCACCCTGCCCCCTGCACGCATCTCACCCTGCCCCCTGCACGCATCTCACCCTGCCCCCTGCACGCATCTCACCCTGCCCCCTGCACGCATCTCACCCTGCCCCCTGCACGCATCTCACCCTGCCCCCTGCACGCATCTCACCCTGCCCCCTGCACGCATCTCACCCTGCCCCCTGCACGCATCTCACCCTGCCCCCTGCACGCATCTCACCCTGCCCCCTGCACGCATCTCACCCTGCCCCCTGCACGCATCTCACCCTGCCCCCTGCACGCATCTCACCCTGCCCCCTGCACGCATCTCACCCTGCCCCCTGCACGCATCTCACCCTGCCCCCTGCACGCATCTCACCCTGTTCCACTGGCGTGCCCCCGCCAGGGTGCTGTCGCCCACCACCTCCTCTGACCGCGGCACTGCCTCCCACGGCCTGCCCCACCACCTGCCACATGCACATGCACACTCACACACGGGGTGCACCAAAGCCACAACACAGCACATGCAGCGAGGAAACACAAGGAGCAGCAATGGAGTTGTGAGGACAGTGGTGTGGTGAGGCGCGAATGTGTTTTATGTGGCATGTAGTGCCATGCAGCAGGGTGTGTGTGGCTCACCCCGGCACAGCATGCAGCAGGTGGGAGGGTGCGCAGAGAGGCAGCATGACGACAGGCTGAGGGCCGCGCAGCTGGAGCAGCAGGCCGTGCATGACCTCATGGCAGTCCACCACCATGCCCGCCACCCACCGCTCCACGCCCTCGCCCGCACTGCCCTCCATGCCCGGTGGCACCACCAGCTCTGGCTGCGCCGCCACCAGCGACGCCACGGCCGCCTCACAGTGCGCGTGGGTGAGCGGTGCGAAATAGCATGCCAGCGACCCCTCTGCCTCGCCTGCACACGCGGTGCCAGGGGGGCATAGCAAGGGCGGACAGATGTGGGCACACACACAACACAGTGCAGGCTGCCTAGCTGTTGAGAGGTTTGCACACAGAATCTGAGGCAGAAGTGGGGAGAGCGAGGAGGCGCAGGGAGGAGTGGCGAAGGAATTGCGGTGAGCATTGCAGAGAGAGCAGGGAGGGGGCGGGGCGGGGGTGTTTGGGCACCGGAGCAGGCGTCGTGGTGGGCGCGGAAGAAGTTGCGGTGCGGCACGAGGATGCGGCCCACGGCGAGCGCCACGCCCATGGCCACGGACAGCAGGTGCACGTCCGACCCCAGCCCGTGGTCGCCCTCGCCCGGCCACTGGTACAGCAGAAAGCGGTGCGCACTGTTGTGGCAGTGGCGCGGGAACTGGTGCAGCCACAGCGCCGCCTGCACCACCCGTGTGAAGGGCAGGTTGTCCGCATCGCTGCCCTGCACCTGCACACCCAGCGCCACGCGCGTGGGTTGGGGGCGTGTGGTGGAGAGAGGAGGAGGGGAAGGGGTTGTGGCGAGGGGAGGGTGCGAGGTGGTGCTCTACGGCAGTGCACATGCGGTGCTTGTGGGGCGCGCACAGGAGAATGTGGCAACGTAAGGGTTGCACATGGTGGGGAGGGGTGGAGAGGAGAGGTGACGAGGGGCACAGTGGTGGAACGGCGGTGCAGGCAGGCAGGCAGGTGCAGTGCTGGTCCGCACCAAGACATTGTATGAAGCACCATGCTGCATGCCCCATGCCCCCCCCGTTCATCTCACCCACGGCGTCTGAGGAACAGTCGTCCACCACTCCTGCTGCCTGCGCCCCACCTGCCCTGCCTCACGCCGCTCGTCTCCTTCCCCATGGCCCGCCCCTCTCAGCCCCTCGTGGAGCCCCTTGGGGTCTGCAGCCTCGGCAGCAGCGGCGGCAGTGGCGGCGGCAGCAGGGGCGGCCCAGGGCGGGGGCGAGCCGTCGGGCAGGCGCTGCTCCAGCAGGCGGTGCTGCGCTGCTGCCGCCTCACACGCCACCAGGTGCGGCGCAGGGGGCACGCCACCACTGCCCCCGCCTGCATCCCCGCTATCCTCGCCCTCCTGCTCTCGCTCCCCCACCCCGTGCCCTGTTCGCCCCCCCTCTCGCTTGCCTCTTCCCTGCGCCCTCCTCCTCCTCCGCCGGGCAGCAATGTGAGCAGCGACGGCGGGCGGCAGGGAGATGGAAGTGGGAGCACTCCAGCGGTGCTCCAGCCCGTACGCTGCCGTCCACGCCTGCACCCAGGGGACACTCATTCCGCGCACACAGGGGCGCGCACAGGGTGGGTGATGAGCGCGGAGGGGGGGGAAGCACAAGGTGCAGGCGCACGGCAGGGGCAACGCGTGCATGCACCGCACAGGAGGTACGACACAGCGCATGCACCCCCATTCTCTCGCACATGCATCCATGCCATGTCATGCCATGCCATGCTGCCATGACCCCCCCCGATGGTACTCACATCATACAGTAGCTCCCATTCCTCCCCCTCCTCCTCTTCCTCCTCTACATCTTCACCTCTCCCACCTGCGTCACCCACACCCCCTCCACCTTCCCCATTCATTCCCGTTTTAGGCTTCCTCGCGACCCGCCAGAAGTCTTCCTCCCACGGCAGTGTGCGGTTCTCCCCATGCAACGAGAAGTGTCGGATCACCGTCACTCCGCCGCTGCCCGCTTCACCCTCCGCGCCTTCCGCTGCCGCGCTGCCTTCACCTTCTACCCCATGCCCCGCCTCCCCTGCCCCGCTGCCCCCTTCATCTCCTCCGCTCCCCAATTTCCGCCCCTCCTGCGTTTGCGCCTCACCCGCTTGCGCATCCCCGTCCGTCTGCGCCGCGACGTCCCCGAGCGCCTCTTGCGCCGCGGCCGCCTTCGATAGCTCGTCCTCCGAGGCCCCGCCGCCGCGCCGCGCGCGCCATGGGCGGGAGAGCGCGCGCGCAGCTGATGCGGCGGAGGGAGAATCTCTGGCGGGAAAGGCGGAGGACTGCCGAGGAGGCTGGAAGGCAGACCAGCGGAGGCGACACAAGACGAGGAGCGGCAGCAGCAGCAGCGCGGCGACGAGCAGCCCGCGGAGCAGCGGTGCGCGGCGAGCAGCAGTGCGCGGTGAGTGGGCGATCGCAGTGGCGCGACGAGTCGATCGGGGGCGAATCATTGGCATCGACTCTCGAGGCACAATGCATGCTGCGGATAGTTCGCATGCAGCAGGAACATGGCGGTCAAACCATCTCAACGCAAAATTGTGGTTGGACATTATTGCATTTAGGCGAATATAGATTACTCGTGTAGTAAGTTACGCACTGAACGTAGCGGTTGAATTTTGAAGATGGACAGTACAGGTACCATGGTTTGCAGAGCAGAATTAGAGGGGCAGTAACGACTTATACAATGCAGGGCCCTCAGTGCACCCCAAGCTCGCCCCCCCTGATGCAAGCACTTTCAACACATGCTCCATGCATGCAGGCAGCAACAGCACAAGGTAGCGAATGAGCCCCCATGGAAGCCTGTGCGCCCGCCCAACCTCACTCCACAGCACCACCATCCCTCTTTCAACGTAGAGGGCCTGCGTGCATGGCAACCTCCCACCCTCCCCCCATCCATGGCACGTGTGTGGGCGGTCATAGGAGGGGCGGCAGGATGCCGAGCTGGTGCAGGATGCCACGGCCCGTGCTGACCTCCAGCAGCAGCAGCCCCAGCACGGCCACCATGGCGGCACGCCCATTCCATGTCTCAGCGCTCTTGGTCCACCCCCACTCCCACATGGCGACAGGCGCGGGCAGCTCTCTCCGCTCGATGTCGTACGTGGCCAGCAGCTCCTCCACACTGCCCAGTGGCACCAGTGCCTGCCACAGCACGCACACAGGGGGGGGTCATGCTCATGCTTTTAGTGGTGCTCGTAAGCAAGCACACCCATGGGGCGCAGGGAGGGCACAACAAGCATGTGGCGAGGAGGGCGCAGCATGCACAGCCATACACTGTCCACCACCCCCAACAACAACACCCTCCGCCTCCCCGCCGCCCCACCCATGCATACGTGGGCGGGCAGGCAGGCAGCAGGCAGGTGGAGAGGCAGGGGAGGGAGAGAGGTGGGGGGTACCTGGCGGGCCTCGATGGAGGAGGCGGCCATGGCACCGACGTAGGGCAGGGCCTCGAGCACGGCGTCCGCCAGGTCCTCGATGAACGACGGCTCACACCCCAGCGCCGGCACTCGCCCCCACTCCACCACGCCCGACGCCAGCGCCAGCTCGCGGTACTCCATGTCTATCTCCTCCAACGTCTCTATGTGCTCGCTCACAAAGCTGTTCGCTCCCATGCACCCACACGCACTCACACGGGGCACGCACAACGACGGGACGAGGGGGTTGACGTGAGGTGCAGCACAGAGGGAAAATCCAAGTGCAGAGGCCCACGGCCTGGCTGGAGGCGTCACCTCTCAACAGCAAGCAGCATGGAGCGAGCAGCGAGCAGCGAGCAGGGGGGCAGGGGAGCGGGGGTGTGCACCTGATGGGGACGGCGAGGAGGCTCTTGACGCCGGCCTTGCCAAGGGTCTCAATGCTCTCGTCCGTGTACGGCTTCAACCACTCCACTGGCCCCACCCGACTCTGATGCCATGGCCCCACGCACGCACACGGGGAAGGGGAGGGGGCCACACGCTAGCCATGTGAGCGGGAGGGGTAGGATAGTGGATGGCAGTGGCATGCACATGACATGATGGCACGTGGGGTCACAGGCGTCACTGGGTCGTGCTGGGCTGCAGGGGCATGCACACATGCGCACGTGGTGCTTGCACATGCCTGCAGCTGCCATGTCACGTCACATGCTGTGTGCGTGCCGGGCGGGGCTATGTCTGGCCACCAGTGCAGAGCGTGTGTGCCCTCTGCTGTGCAAACATGCTATGCTAGCACGCCCACCATGCGCGCCTCTGCTGTGAGCGCGCAGGGGAGCAGGGGAGGGGGCGCGAGCATGCATGGAAGTGGGAGGGGAGGGCGGGCGTGCCTGGTAGGCGAGGGTGTAGTTGTTGTAGACGCCGCGGCGGCGCAGCTCGTCCATGACGAGCCCCACGCACTCCTCCATTTCCGCCTTATACGGGTCGCCCGCCTCCTCCACGTACGCCACCGGCACCCCGTGCGCACTGAAAAATATGTTCACCTGCCCGCCCCGCCATCACCCCACCCCCATGGCCCATGGCACACGGCGAGACGAGCGAGACAGTCAGTGCTGGTGCGCAAGTGTGTGTGTGTGTGTGTGTGTGTGTGTGTGTGTGTGTGTGTGTGTGTGTGTGTGTGTGTGTGTGTGTGTGTGTGTGTGTGTGTGTGTGAGAGAGAGAGAGAGAGAGAGAGTGTGTGTGAGAGAGAGAGAGAGAGAGAGAGAGAGAGAGAGAGAGTGAGAGAGAGAGAGAGAGAGACTGTGTCAGGGTGTGAGGTAGGTGCAAGAAGCGTGGGAAGCGGGGGGGGGTGGGGGGGGTGGGTTGCTGTTGTGGGCAAGAGGGAGAGTGGGGCATTTGTGTGGCAGGGGTGTGTGGCGCGAGAGGGAGGGTACAATTTCTGGTCGTGAGAAGGCGAGCAGCTCCTTGTGAATGAGCGTGGCCATGGCCTCCACGTAGCCGCGGCGCTGGTACCACGAGGGGATCACGGTGTGCTGCATGGTCACCAAGTACTCGTCCTCCCTGCCATGCATGCCGCACACACACCCCACCCCACCACACACAGAGGGCGAGAGAGCGAGTGAGCGGGTGCGCGTAGGTGCGGGGGATGGGGGAGAGCGCGCGAGCGGAAGGTGGAAGGACGCAGGAGTGGCGAGCAAGGGTGAACCAAGGCACACGGCACGCCGTGAGTGGTGGCGCTGGGCGAGGCGGCGAGGCAGCAGGGGGTTGGGGGGTTGGGGAGCGAGGGGGTGGATTGGGTGCGTACCGGAAGATGCGTTCGAGGAGGCGCAGCGAGGAGCCGCTGGTGGTGATGGAGAACTGCGGGTACAGCGGCAGCACCACCAGCCGCGTTATGCGGTCCTGCTTTATCTGCTCGCGGGACAAGAGGGGGGGACAGGCGGAGCAGGGGGGCAGCTTGAGCGAGTGGCGGAGACACGCATGGCACAAGGGAAGGGTGGGATAAAGCGCGCATGGATGGTGATGCGAGCAGGGGAGCGGGGGCGAGCGGTGGGGGTGGGTACGAGGGGTTGCGGCGGGACCTGGTAGATGGCCTCTTCGGTGAAGGGGTGCCAGTAGCGCATGCCCACGTACACCTTCGCCGCCACCTCCTTCTTCTGCAACGCCTTCCCCAGCTCCTCCGCCTGCCACCCACCGCGCACCGCGCATGGCGCACAGGGGGGGGGAGAAAGGGGAGAGGTGCGGGCAGAGGAAGGAGAGACCGGACTGGCATGAAGCAACGTTGGTGCTCGGTGGGTGGCACCTCCTCACGCCATGCCATGCACAGGGGGGGGAGCGAGAGGGCTTGGCGCAACGGCAGGGCAAGGGGGGTGTGGTGATGGATAGATGGATGGAGACACATGATACATGTCGTGATTTACGATACGTCACCCATTCACTCATTACTGAGAGAGGGCGCGCGAGTGCGAGCGGCAGACAAGGGGAGGGATGGATGAGGGGAGCGGAAGGAGGGACGAGGGACGGGTAGGGATGGAGTGAAGGGGAAGGAGGGGGGAGGAGAAAAGGGAGGGAGGCGGAGGGAGAGGAGGGCACGCGACCTTGTCATTCCCCTGGCATTTGGGCTGTCTTTCCCGTCTTTCCCGTCTTTGCATCGTTCTTCGAACCCCCCTACCCCATATCGCCCCATGGCGCGTGTGTTGTCCCCCCACCCCCACCTGGTCCATGGTGATGCGCCGCAGCGGCGAGCCCCCGCCGATGGCGGCGTACCCCTCCTGGCTCTTGGGCGCGCGCATCGTCGAGATGAACTGCGCGATGGGCCGCTGCAGGAACCGCAGCGCGCGCGGCAGCCGGATGATGTCCTGCGAGCACGGCGGGCGGGGGGAGGGGGGAAACACGGGATAAGCGGGGGCGAGGAGACGCAGCGTTTAGTACGGCGACAGTGCGTGCGTGGTCGAGAAACCAGAAGAGCGAGCGCAGGTTCTTGTGGACGCGAGGCAAAGCGCCTTGGCACCCGACCTTCCATTGACGAGTCGCGCGCAACTCGCGAGTGAGTGGGTGGGTGAGTGGGTGCGAGGGGGCGCCTGCGCACGCCACGGCCGGAGCACGCGAGGTGGCGGTGGGTAGAGGGGCGGACATGGGTAGGAGGGGAGGGGGGACTGACCGGGTCGGCGAAGAGGTTGAAGAGGAACGGCTGCACGTCGTCCAGAGTGTCGGGCCCGCCCAGGTTCAGCAGCAGCACGCCCACGCGCTCCTCCGCCGTGCCCGCCGCCTCGCCCGCGCCCGTGCCGCTGTCGCTCGCGCCGGGTCCCGGCTCTGCGACGGGCCCGGGCGGACTCGCCATGGACACGGCCGCCACACACCCGCACCCCCGCTGCGCCTGCTGCCGCCGCTGCCGCTGCGCTGACAACTTTCCGGCCGTCAGCTTGCCGCCTAGCCGTCTCGCCGTTGCGGCTGTTGCTCCCGCTGTTCGCCATGGTTGGTCCGTTCGCTGCCACGAGTCACCCCCTAAGCACAATACGCACCCTGTTGCCCGCCTGCTGCTCATGCTCGCGTTGCTGCCGCTGCTGCTGGCGGCTTTTCTCGTGACGGCATGAGTTGTAGTGGCGGCGGGGAGCTTGGGTGTGCTTCTATGGACGCCCGCGCGCTCTGACGGCAGCTGCAGCAGCGAGCGCGGCTGCGACGGGCTGACAACGGGCGAGCACGGGGAAGGGGAGCACCGGCAGCGGCAAGGGCCTCGGAAAAAGTTGGGTCAGAAAGGAGAAACCGCGTTGCCTAGCACAAAGCGTTTCAAAAAGCATGAGCAAGAGCGAGCGCCGGCAGAGAAGCGCGGCATACCTGGAGGGCAGGGAGTGATGAGTGCGCGGGCGTTTATCAGGTGGCGAAGTGGGCGTCACCGCACAGCCTGCCACTGCACACACGCGGACGACGCGCATGGCATCAGAAAGGTCAGTTAGCCCGTGCACAGACGCGTACAATCGGAACGCACGGCTCTCTTCAAAGATGAATCCATTTCACAAGACAATGGATTGAAGGGAGTGAACGCAGTTAAACATTGCCAC